CTATCCATTTTGAAGGAAATCAAGCCTGAGTGCTCACTGGAAGGACAGATCCTGAAGCTGAGGCTCCAATACTTTGGCCATCTCATAAGAAAAGACTCCCTGGAAAAGACCCTGATGTTGGGAAAATGTGAAGGCAAGAGGAGAAGGGGACGACAGAGGACGAGACGGTTGGACAGGGTCACCAAAGCTACCAACATGAATTTGACCCAACTCTGCGAGACTGTGGAAGACAGGAGGGCCTGGCGTGCTCTGGTCCATGGGGTCATGAAGAGTCAGACACAAGGACCAAACAACAACAACTGCAAGGTTGTTGCAAGTAATAAAGTTGCTGGTCTCTAGATGGCAGTGTCTGCTTTCACTTAAAGCAAAGGCATAATAATACAATAAAATGGTTCTTTTCCTCAGAAAGTTCTGTAAACTAATTTCACTCCCAGGGTGTTGAAAAAGAAGTAGAAAAAACAAAGTGATGTCTTTACAAGACACAAAAGCAAGAGCAGGTGATATTTTTATTAGACCACTGTATTTTTTAAAAATTAAAAGTGCTAGTAGTTCCTTCCGTCTGTTATGAGCATAGCAATCCCTTTATATTAGGGATTAAGAGCTTTTAGCCTGGCATGTATTTTGGTTTCAGCTCTCTGAAGTTCAAGGCATCCGTAAGGAATCATGGAACCTGTGGTGCAAAACATCTCTGCCCTAAATATTTAACAGTTCTGTTTCCAAGATGCTCTTGTCAAGATGACTTAGTAGTTTAGTTTCCACATCTTCAATTAATGGGAGTTTAGCAACAGTTCCCATCATTCTTCTTCATGGTCTCTGTGAATACACACTAATGGGGTTAATCCACACTTGTGTGGAGCAGCCTCAGAACTTTCTAGCTCTCAAGCTCATGGTGCCGGGACCTCGCACATGCTGGCTATAACTCCACCCATGGCACCAAGTGCCTGAGTTCGTTTTTGACCGCCCTTGTTGCAGCTTTGTTTGGAACTTCATGTGCTCAATCAGACAACCAATCTTACCTTTCCCTCTCTTCCTTGGGCCTCCCTGGCTTGATTCCAGACCGTTGACCTCACTTCGCAACTGTGAATTATCTGCAAAAAGAAAAAAAAGGATTAATTGTGTTGCTTACTTTCAGTTTATGGCCTTGCCAGGCCTCTTCAAGAGGTGTGAGGTCTGCTCAAACAAAACTCCCTTCTCCAGCGGACATTCCCGTTGTTTATTTTGTTTTGGGGAAGAACATCAGCTGGCCGTGTGCACCTTTTGCAAAAACTTTACGAAGCCGGCTCTGAAGTTGTGGCTCCAAGGCCTTAAATCATTTATTTGGGAGAAATCCCTTTCACCATCTCAAATTGCCTCTATGGATTCCCCCAAAACTTTGCAACCGTCTCTGGCAGCTTCGCCAGAGGTTGCAGCCCAAAAGGCGGTGAAAATGGTGGCCAAACTGGAATAGTCCTCAGGCTCGAGGTCGACGGCCATGGCGTCGACATGTTGCAATCTTCGACCATTGAGTTCGAAGAAGATCCCTAACCCTACTAAAGCTGCAGAAGTCTCAGCACTGAGGCCGGAGATATCCCAGCAACATTCAGTAAGCCTGAGTGTACCCTCAGGGGAAGAGGATGTACCCCTGCAGCTGCCACCGCCATCCCCTTCTGTCAGTGATACTCCTGATTGGGATAACACCTCTTTGGAGGTTGTTGAATAGGCACAGGCCAGCCACATTCTTTGCTGGGCTCGTTGACACAGCAACCTGCGGCCTTGCCACCACCACCAGCTCCGACGGAGGTTCCTCATAAGAGGATCCATAAATCCCGACACCTGAAAGCCGCCTGAGCAACTGGACCCGTACAGTGGGCAGTCGGAGCTGAGGGGGTACCCAGCTCGGCAAGGCTGATGGCATTACCTTGACTACCTGCCAGCGTACGGGGCAGAG